ATTGTTGATCTTATCGTAGCTAGTGTATGTCATGCATTTATCTTAAATTCTTTATCGTCGTCATTAATTTTCCTAACATATTCGTTGTTTGCACTGACATGGTGTGATACTGTATTGACGTCTCTTTGATTGCTGCGAACAAAACAAACTATACATGTACATATTGATAGGGCATATTTCCTAAAAAATTAAAGCCAATATAAAATATACTGAAATCATTCTCTTCTCTCTTCATTTATTTGAATTTTTTAAACATCATCTCTATGATATTATAACATATTAGGAAATATTCAATATGCCTCGTAGTCTTTAACAAGATTAAAACTCTACTTTTTATTGCATGTAGCTTGCAATTCAAAGCTATCACTACATAAACACTTGTACTCTTCCATTTAGTTAGACATATGTCATTAATGTAGCTGCAAATTCAAAGCTATCACTAGCATAAATCACTTGTATTCTTTCCATTTAATATAACAAAATGACATCATTCCAAGGCAACATATTTTTCAACATCTCTATTGACATATTAAGAAGTGTGCTATTACACCCACTTGAGACTTAACACATTTTCAACATCATTTTATGAGGTACTACTAATGCATTATGCTCTATTTATATGTTATACAACATGAGAAAATGTTTTAAAAATATTTTAATTTTGTGTGGATAAATAAGTATATCAATAATGTATTGATATAATTTAATCTAGTCAACTTTAATGACCCGAAAAAAAAAAAAGAGTTATATTTGAGATACATAAAAATTTCACATTGCTCATTTGATAAATGGATTATTATTTTTAACTACTATATAAATTTTTTTTTTTTTTGTTATTTTTAGGCTTATAATATGTTGATCTAGTCATATTAGCTATTTGTATAAGATTAACACTGAAACAACTAGATACAATGTTAGGTACAGGTTGAATGGTCGACACGTTTTAGAGTTGAACATAAACCGATCGCATAACTCGAATGGCATCAATATGTATGAAGCATTTTTTCGTAATATATATATGATGTTTATCCTATTAACTCTTATAAATCTTGCTCTTATTATATATGAAATATCATAAGAGTATTCGTGTATGAAATTATCAAATTGAGCATTGCTCTTTTCACAAAATCAGCTATTATTAAGGTTATGAGTTATTTCAAAGATCGAACATCGCTAAAAAATTTTGATAGACTTTTCACTCTAATCAACCAACAAGCTGACTAATGAGCGTATGTTTGATATGATTTTAAATCAATCATTAGCATTTATCAATGATTCATGCTGCTCGAATCGAGAGTCTGGACGAAGCCAATCCATTACTATACATGATTTAGCTCAAGATATCATGTATGATATTGAGTTATTCTTAAACAACATCAAATCAATTCAAGATTAGATGGTTAACAACCCTAACTAATATGATAAAAATATATTGATTTTAAATGGTAAATGCTTCATTCAAAGGTTTAATTGTATGGAATAACCCTTATAATAAAAATATGAACAACCAAACCAATAAAGTTTAGGTAAAAGTCTTCTTGTGGGCCATGCCACACTTTCTAATGAGTTCTTGGTAGCTAATGAGAATGAAAAAAAAAAAAAAAAAAAGTTTGAAAGTAGTTGGAAAATAGAGTCCTTGCACATTTTCATTGTGACTTAGCATCCCTAATGACACATTTTCAAATGCAAAGGGGGAATTTTTGTATTTTGGTGAAATTAAAAGAGGACCATTTATACAAATTCAAAGGGAATTTTACAAATTAAGTAAAGTATTTTACAAATATTTTTTTATTTATTTTGTAAATAATTATTGTCCAAATGTGGAGAGAAATGGTAAAAAAAAAACAAATTGAAAAGAGTTTTGTTATAGTTATTTGTAGTCTACAAATTTTTAATCATAATGTTTTTAATTAATATGTTATTAAAAAATTTACCTCCAAATTTTGGGATAAAAAAATAATCTATGAAAATATTTGATATATATACATTATAATAATGGGAAGATAAATGTTATGAATTAAGAGATTAATATTCAAAACTATATGAGATTTAAATAGAAATAAATATAAATAATTACTTAAAACATGATACAATTAATGATAAAAATCTCAATTAATGATGATTTAATGAACTTGTTATTTCATTCTATATTTTTCTATCAATTATTTTATCTTATACACTCTTAATGTTATTAAAAGTACATACATATAATGAAAAATAGAAACAAATATCTAAATGTATAAATTAAGTTTATTTTCTTATAAATAAATAATATCTATTAGTTATATCTATTTTGATTAGAACTTTATTATTCCTTAAAATTATTAAATAATACAATAATTAAAAATAATATATTAAATATTCATATCATGATTATTTGATAAGTTTTATGCTGATTGTCGATTACTTAACGTAATCTTCATTTCTCTCCAGGATTTAGGGCCTGACGACAACAGTGTTACTTATTGAAATAAATAAATAAATAAATTGAATAATGGCACTCAAACTCACTTAAAACCCTAATGATTCCTATTCATTGGTGGAGGTGAGAGTGTTAGGGATCCCAAAGAAGTTATTGGATTCTCTCTCTAATTATTATAGATTGTAGTAGTTATTAGGTTCCATCTATGTTGAATTGATTCATTAGGAGAGGATTCTAATCCATTAGGTGGCATTGACTATTTAGAACCTTAACAAATGTTTTATATTTTTATTGATGCGTGATTGGAAATTATTTGAATTTAAGATTTTTAAAATATTTGCTATTTTTTAAGGAAGATTAAGGTTTTATTGGGAGTTTTTACGGGTCTTTTTTAAATTTTTTTTTTTGTTGCTAAAAAACTGCTTTAAGAAACAGTAAAAAAAGATGTTAAAACGAAGCCAAGACTTCATTTGAGATAACTTTCTTCTTATTTCTAAACAAGCTTACTAGTACTTTTTTTAATTCAAATTTTTATTACAAAAACTGCTTTTATCAACATTAAAAAAGCTAACCCAAATTAATATTAAGGCTTTGTTGGGATAACTTTCTTCATGCTTTTTAAGCGTTCGTTTGGGCGCTTTTTATTATTTTTTAAAATGGAGTTTTAAGTACAATAAATTAAAAATTTTGTTACTAAAAATTCTGTTTTAAAAACATAAAAAAGTCGTCCCAAACGAAGTATAAGCTAGTTGGGATAACTCAAGTAACAAAAATTACGAATAAAAAATCATAAGAAATTTAAAAAAATAAAAATAATAAAAAAAAAAGCTATTTTTCTAAGTTAAAAATATGATAATTAATAATAATAATGAGTGTTTTATTGCAAAAATTAAAACAAATACTTTTTATACAAATATATTTCAAATTTTATAAAATATTCCTGTATTATTTATTTATTTTTATTCCAATAAGTAAACTCCCTTGATATTTTTTTTTGCATGGTCTCAAAGTTCAACTCATTAATTTCTTGACAGTAATAATGATTGATGTTAGCTGCAGCCATTATTGCCTATTTTATCAGTAAAAATCCCACCATTCATTAGAAAAATATTTGCATCATATTAAATTATACATTTTGAAAAAATTACCAAATAGTCAAATTTTAAAAAAATAACAATTTTGATTCACTATACTAAAATAGACTTCACAACATTTTATTACGCTACAATGGTGGTTAAAACATCTACTACTTTCGTTGATGCGGTATCCAAACTACTGCACATCCGTCATATTTTTTATAGCTGAAAACAGCTTCCATGGCGCTAATTAAATTGCTGGCATAGATGTAGTTTTCACGCGAAGGGTTACTCCGTCGATGAAGTGGACTGCACACAAAGTGTTGATGACGATAGATTCGACGGTGGTCGCGGATTCGACGGGAACGGCGATTTTACAGCATTGGCAGGAATCGACGTCGGGCGAATGCAGGGAAAGGGAGGAATCACAAATGAAGCATGCGCGGGTCAAATGGCTCGGTTAGGGCACGAAAGGGTAAAAAAGCTGTTTGTAGCATCGGTTAAAACCGCTATGAATATCGATCTATTGATAGCCGCCACTATTAAAGGTTGCGAAAAACACATGTTTTTAGCAGTGATTGTGTGTTAAAATAAATTTGCTTATGATATATTTTTGAAAAATCCTATTATTTTAAATAAATTTTTCTATATATTTATTATTAAAAATAAATAATATATCATGTGGCATATTAAACTGTTGACATTATTGATTAATTGTCACCTTCCATGCATTAGAGCAATTGGATCTCATAAGTCCATATCATATTATTGATTACCTAACTGAAAAAGAATAATGCTGACATGGAGCCATGTGAGCAATGATAATGACTTAAAATATTATATAAGAAAAATTATTAAATTTATTTAAAATTATATAATATAAAACTCAAAAATAAATTTGATGATTATTAAAATATTTTTGATAAATTTAAAGTAAGAATATTTTAGTAAATATTTTTTATTTATTTTCAATTGAATATATTATAAAAATTATTTAATTAATAAACCTAGATTTACACTTTTATTAAAATAAATTTAATAAAAAAATCATATTTATAATTTTAGTTTCGATTATCCTGATCAAAATATATATGAAAAACTATTTAATTTATTTTAAAATTAATAAATTATTCTTTTAAACATATATAATAGTAATTTGAAGATTAATTTAATGTTCTAAGTTTACTTTGATATTTTATATCAGAAATTCTGATATAATTTTTTATTTATTTTAAAATCAACTTATTATAAAAAAATAGTTAATTAATTATATATTATGATTAAACTTATTAAATAAAAGGCTTCCAACTAAGAGGTCTAAGGTTCGAGTCTCTGTGTAATGTGTATGCATTGTGTGTGTGAGTTTGTCTTAAATGGCCTAAATGTCCCAAAAAAAAATATTACAATAATTTCATATATATATATATATATATATAGAGAGAGAGAGAGAGAGACTAAAAATAACAAAATTATCAGTATAACGGCAGAACTCCAAAACAAAAATTCAAATATTTTTAAACGCTTACTTGCCTTTATCCTAACTCGTCACATCCCACCGTTTTAGCGTTCCAAAGTCCCACACTCTCTCCATTTTCTCTTCTTCTTGTTCTCCTCCTGGTCTACTTCTTCTTTTTCTCCCTTTCATGGCATCTGGACCAGAAGGAACGGAGCCGGTGAACTACCAGGCACTTACCACTACACTGTTCTCCCTTTTTTTTGTTTCTTTTTTAGTTTAATGGTTAATAGTAACATCAGCAATGAATTGATCTGTCTTATTATAACACAGACGTGGGTGCTGAAGGTCTCGATCCACTGCGAAGGATGCAAGAAGAAAATAAAAAAAATTCTGCATAAAGTCAAAGGTAAGACCCGTAATCCCTTTAAAATCTCTTTTCAAGTATGGATCTTTTTCAACTTCCGACAATCTTGACTGGTTTTTTCCTCAATAAGTTTCAATCAAAATTGGATCTTTCCCCTTCAATCGTCAGGGGTTTATTCTATAGAAATCGATGCACAGCAGAACAGGGCAACGGTCACCGGCAACGTCGACGCTGAATCCTTAGTTCAAAAGCTTCTCAAGTACGGCAAGCACGCCGAGGTCTTGCCGGAGAAGAATTCTGCCGGCACAAATTCCTCCGCCGCCGCCGCCTCCCCCGCTGTGAAAACTGAAGCAAAGGGAAACGAGAAGGCCGGATCTGGAGCTGCAGCTGTTGCCGCAGTCTCTGCTCCTGAAACAGAGGAGAAAAAGAAAGCGGAAAAGGAAAAGGGGAAAGCCGCTGAGCCTCCGGAGTCCCCGCCGGCAACCGCAGCAGCCTCTGATGAGGTTACTGCTCCTAAGCCTGAGACTGATGCAACTTCACAAGCGGAGAAGAGCATCTCCGAGAAGGCGGCAGCTTCCGACGCCTCCAGCAAGAAGAAGGGTAAGGAAGTGAAAAGAGAAGAAACGAAGCCAGATGAACGGGAGGTCTCCAGCTCCAACAACGTAACCGTTGCGAATCCTCCCCCAGCTATTCCTTCTCCGGCGAACATTCAGCCGGTTTACACCACGGTTAGTTACCACACCGCTAATCCGAGCACAAGCTACGCTTACTACGCGGAGCCACCGCCGGAGATGCCTTCTAGCTACGCCTACCATGGCAACCTACCGCCTCCACCGGATTATCCCCCGCCAGCTGGATACTCGCCGGATTCTTATTATTACTCGTCGGAATCATATTACCGGTCGTTGGATCAGCCGTCGTCCTCGGCTGGATCGTACGATATGTTCAACGATGAGAATCCAAATGCTTGCAAACTAATGTGATAATTTTGCTGATGGAAAATCGGTGGAAAAAAATTCGCCGGTTTTTTTTTCTCGGAATTATCGGAATTTTATTTTTTCTTTCTTTTTTTTAATGGTTTCTGTGCCTTGTATTTGTCTTTGGTAAGTTAATAAAAGAGTGATGGTGTTGGCTAGTGGTAATTTTGTAATTTTGAAGTGAGCTATTTTTGTTGAGATTTGAGAATAGCTGGAGTGAAAGCAAAGTAAAAGAGATGGTGGTGATCATGATCAATTGGTGAAGAGAATTTTTTTTTTTTGGATTGATTTATTTTTTGCTCTCGTTCTTGATGAAGACTCGATCTCGTGTGTGTAATGAAGCCTCATGAATGAGAGATTATTCTGTGCAGAAACCGAACGAGTTTGGAGGCCAATTCGAATACGTCACGTCATCCAATGCACATTGCATTGGGTGACATGATGCGTCTAGATTAGTCTCAGGATGTGTCTGGACACTCATCGTCGTCGCCATTTATAAAACTTGTAGGCCCTGAAGCCGCTTCCATTGCACCCCATCTTTGTTGCACGCCGCACCCAAGCCATGACATTTCACTTTTGTCGTCATCACTACTTGTGAAGCCTCAAGTCTGCCTTCATCCACATCCCTCATGGTGTCCTAGGTTAGTTTAGTTTATCTTTTTTATTTAATTTTTTTTTATTTTAATGAGTTTCAACCAAATAAATACTTGCAACTATTAAATCACTAAATAAGATTTGAATTGTAAATTTTAATAATAATTTTTAAGTTCTTTATAAACCGGACTAATCAGCTCTTATAAAATGTGAAGGGAATTTGAGATATATTATTTCTTGAGAAAGAAATATTATTTTCTATTAAAAAACAAATTTTCTTATGTAAAGCCCGAATCTCTAATCACCTTAGAGGATTGAACCAAAGTCGTGTGAATTTCTTTTATTGAATTGATGCATAGAGGAGCTTGGATCTATTGAATTGTTAATCTCAACTTGATTTTAGTTCATTTGGAAAAAAAAGTTTTAAAAGTTCGCAAACTCTTGATATAATTCTATCTTCTATACATCTATCTTCTATTGATATGTTGTTGCTAATATATGTAACGTTTTGCTACATATTATTACATTTAACGCCACTCACTCTGATGACATACTATCATTTGGTGTTACTCGTCAATGACGTGATTTACTGATTGTTTGCACTGACAATTTTCACAGCTCATTTTTTCGTGCAACAAATAGTATGACACAACTCATAATTATCATTAATGATGTATTTTTGCTATATGATATTATGGATGTTGTCATTGCTAGAAGATATTATTGATCATGTTATAGCCCACCTTCATAATGCATACATAGAGAAATTGTTGATCTTATCATAGCTCATGTATGTCATGCATTTATCTTAAATTCTTGATCGTCATCATTAATTTTCCTAACATCTTCATTGTTTGCACTGACATGGTGTGATACTGTATTGATGTCTCTTTGATTGCTGCGAACAAAACAGACTTTTATGCATGTACATATTGATATTGTATATTTCCTAAAATATTAAAGTCAATATAAATATATACGAATCATTCTCTCTCTCTCTCTCTCTCTCCCTCTCTCTCTCTTCATTTATTGAAATTTTTAAACATCATCTCTATGATATTATGAACATATTAGGGATATTCAATATGCCCTCTTAAGTCTTAACAAGCATTTAAAACTCCTACTTTTTAGTTGCATGTAGCTTGCAAATTCAAAGCTATCACTAGCATAAATCACTTGTACTCTTTCCATTTAAAACATAGCTCATTAATGTAGCTTGCAAATTCAAAGCTATCACTAGCATAAATCACTTGTACTCTTTCCATTTAATATAACAAAATGACATCATTCCAAGGCAACATATTTTCAACATCTCTATTGACATATAAGAAGTGTGCTATTACACCCACTTGAGACTTAACACATTTTCAACATCATTTATGAGGTACTACTAATGCATTATGCTCTATTTATATGTTATACAACATGAGAAAATGTTTTAAAAATATTTTAATTTTGTGGTGTATAAATAAGTATATCAATAATGTATCTGATATAATTTAGATCTAGTCAACTTTAATGACCCGAAAAAAAAAAAAGAGAGTTATATTTGAGATGCATAAAAATTTTACATTTGCTCATTTGATAAATTGATTATTATTTTTTAACTACTATATAAAATATTTTTTTTTGTTATTTTTAGGGTTATAATATGTTGATCTAGTCATATTATCCAATTTGTATAAGGTTAACACTGAAACAACTAGATACACATGTTAGGTACAGGTTGAATGGTCGACTCACTTTCAAGTTGAACATAAACCAATCGATAACTCGAATTGGCATCAATATGTATGAAGCATTTTTCATAATATATATATGATGTTATCCTATTAACTTCTTATATATCTTGCCCTTATTATATATGAAATATCATAAGAGTATCCGTGTATAAAATTATCAAATTGAGCATTGCTCTTTTCACAAAATCAGCTATTATTAAGGTTATGAGTTTTATTCAAAGATCGAACATCGCTAAAAAATTTGATAGACTTTTTCACTCTAATCAAGCCAACAAGCTGACTAATGAGCTATGTTTGATATGATTTAAATCAATCATTAACATTTATCAACGAGTCATGTCTGTTCGAATCGAGTCTGGATCAAGCCAATCCATTACTATACATGATTTAGCTCAAGATATCATGTATGATATTGAGTTATTCTTAAACAACATCAAATCAATTCAAGATTAGATGGTTAACAACCCTAACTAATATGATAAAAATATATTGATTTTAAATGTGAGATGCTTCATTCAAAGGTTTAATTGTATGGGAATAACCCTTATAATAAAAATATGAACAACCAAACCAATAAAGTTAGGTAAAAGGTCTTCTTGTGGGCCATGCCACACTTCTAATGAGTTCTTGGTAGCTAATGAGAATGAAAAAAAAAAAAAGAAGGAAAGTTTGAAAGTAGTTGGAAAATAGAGTCCTTGCACATTTTCATTGTGACTTAGCATCCCCTTAATGACCACATTTTCAAATGCAAAGGGGGAATTTTGTATTTTGGTGAAATTAAAAGAGACCATTTTATACAAATTCAAAGGGAATTTTACAATTAAGTAAAGTATTTACAAATATTTTTTTAATTTATTTTGTAAATAATTATTGTGCGAAATGGTAAGAGAAGTGGTAAAAAAAACAAATTGAAAAGAGTTTTGTTATAGTTATTTGTAGTCTGCAATTTTTAATCATAATGTTTTTAATTATATGTTAAAAAATTTTACCTCTCAAATTTGGGATAATAAAAATATCTATGAAAATATTTTGATATATATATACATTATAATAATGGGAAGATAAATGTTATGAATTAAGATATTAATATTCAAACTATATGAGATTTAAATAGAAATAAATAAAAATAATTATTTAAAACATGATACAATTAATGATAAAATTCTCAATTAATGATGATTTTAATGACTTGTTTAATGATTCATTCTATATTTTTCTATCAATTATTTTATCTTATACACTGAATGTTATTAAAGGTACATACATATAATGAAAATAGTAAACAAATATCTAAATGTATAAATTAAGTTTATTTTCTTATTAAATTAAATAATATCTAATTAGTTATATCTATTTTGATTAGAACTTTATTATTCCTTAAAATTATTAAATAATACAATAATTAATAACATAATATATTAAATGATTCATATCATGATTATTTGATAAGTTTTATGCTGATTGTCGATTACTTAACGTAATCTTTCATTTTTCTCGTCTAGGATTTAGGGCCTGACAACAACAGTGTTACTAATTGAATTAAATAAATAAAATTGAATAATGGCACTCAACTCACTTAAAACCCTAATGATTCCTATTCATTGGTGGAGGTGAGAGTGGTTGGGGATTCCCAAAGAAGTTTATTGGGATTCTCTCAAGTTATTTATTTAATTGTAGTTAGTTATTAGGTGGCCATCTATGTTGAATTGATTCCTATTAGGAGAGGATTCTAATCCATTAGGTGGCATTGACTATTAGAACCTTAAGAAATGGTTTATATTTTTATTGATGCGTGATTGGAAATGATTTGAATTTAGGATTTTTAAAATATTTGTTATTTTTTTAGGAAGATTAAGGTTTCGTTTGGGATGGTTTTTTTACTGAATCTTTTAATTTTTGTGCTAAAAAACTGCTTTAAGAAACAGTAAAAAAAGATGTTTAAAACGAAGCCTAAGACTTCATTTGAGATAACTTTCTTCTTATTTTCTAAACAAGCTTACAAAACTGCTTTATTCAAATTTTTTGTATTACAAAACTGCTTTATCAAGCATTAAAAAAGCTAACCCAAATTAATATTAAGGCTTTGTTGGGATAACTTTCTTCATGCTTTTTAAGACTTCGTTTGGGCGGCTTTTTATTATTTTTTAAAATGGAGTTTTAATACAAAATTAAAAATTTTGTACTAAAATTCTGTTTTAATAAACAGTAAAAAAGTCGTCCCAAACGAAGTATAAGCTAATTTGGGATAACTCAAGTAACAAAATGTTACGAATAAAAAATCATAAGAAATGAAAAATAAAAATTAAAATAAAAGCTATAGCTCTAAGTTAAAAATATGATAGTAATAATAATAATGAATGTTTTATTGCAAAAATGAAAAACAAATACTTTTTATACAAATATATTTCAATTTTTATAAAATATCCTGTATTATTTATTTATTTTTATGCCAATAACTCCCTTAATTATTTTTTTATTTGCATGACTCAAAGTTTCAACTCAATTAATTTCTTGACAGTAATAATGATGATGTTAGCTGCAGCCATTATTGCCTATTTTATCAGTAAAAATGCCACCATTCATTAGAAAAATATTTGCATCATATTAAATTATACATTTTGAAAAAAATTACAAAATAGTCCAAATTTTTAAAAAAAATAACAATTTTGATTCACTACTACTAAAATAGACTTTCACAACATTTTTTTATGCTACAATGGTGTTTAAAACATATACTATTTTCGTTGATGCGGTTTCCAAACTACTGCACATCCATCATATTTTTTATAGTTGAAAACAGCTTCCACGGCGCTAATTAAACTGTTGTCATAGATGTAGTTTTCACGCGAAGGGTTGCTCCATCGATGAAGTGAACTGCACAAAGTGTTGACGACGATAGATTCGATCGACGGTGGCCGGGGATTCGGCGAGGACAGCGGTTTTAGCGGCATTGGAGGAATCGACGTCGAGCGAATGCAGGGAAAGGGAGGAATCACAAATGAAGCATGCGCGGGTCAAATGGCTCGGTTAGGGCACGAAGAGGGTAAAAAAGCTGTTTGTAGCATCGGTTAAAACCGCTATGAATATCGATCTATTGATAGCCGCCACTATTAAAGGTTGCGAAAAACACATGTTTTTAGCAGTGATTGTTGTGTAAAAATAAATTTGCTTATGATATATTTTTTGAAAAATCCTATTATTTTAAATAAATTTTCTATAATATTTATTTATTTTAAAATAAATAATGATATCATGTGGCATATTAACTGTTGACATTATTGATTAATTGTCACCTTCCATGCATAGAGCAATTGGATCTCATAAGTCTATATCATATTATTGATTACCTAACTGAAAAAGAATAATGCTGACATTTAAATGAACTTATTATAAAAAAAATAGTTAATTAATTATATATTATTGATTAAACTTTTATTTAAATAAATTTAATAATTATAAAATTCCTATTGATTAATAGATAAATTTGTGGATTAATTGTACTTATGTTAATGGAATTTGGGCCGTAAAGCCGTCTAGTTTAAAGATGAATTGAGCCCTATGATTATGGATTCGTATGGTGGCCTTGGCCCACTAATCGCATGCAAATGATTAGAGCCCAAAGCCCACCATAGTAGCAATTAAGTTGTCAATTTGAACTCATAGCCAAATTTTTGTACCATAAATCTGTTTTAAAAAAATGTAAAAAAGCTATCACAAACAAAGCCTTATTGTTACTAAGGTTTCATTTGGGACGGCTTTTTTTTGCTTCTTAAAGCAGCTTTCTAGTACAAAAATTTTAATTATTGAACTAAAAAGCTGCTTTAAGAAGCAGCAAGAAAACCGTCCCAAACAAAACCTAATTCACATTTTAAAAATCTTTTATAGATAAAAAATATCATGATAATCTTAAATTTTAAAACTTATTAATTCAATTTATGATCATAAAAATTCTAATTTTAGCTAATTTATTCTCAAACTAAATGACACAACAGGATGAATCCAATGCACCAAAGGTGATCCAATCTACGACCAAATGACCTAAAATCAAGCACTTAACACATGGTTAAAAACTTGAGATATTATGATCAAATGGTCTCTGATTTTTGAATGATCACGGTGAAAACAAGCATCTAAATGTCAAGAATTCAATGAGCCTAAGATTTTATAATTTTAAATATATGTCATCATCCTACCTTCGTCAAACAGTTGTCATTATCTGGACACCGTCGCCTTTCTACCATTATCCAACCTCCATCAATCATTCGTCATCATTCAAGCGCCGTCATCCAATCACTTTTGCCTTATTATTATTATATGATCGCTATTGACTAACATCATCTAAATGTCATCATCATTTTTCCATTGCATTTTCAATGTTCTCCATAACACACTCACAGGAAGTCAAGCTTATATCAAAGGCTTTTTAATCGCATATCCTCAAGTTGAGGAAGATCAAACTCTTGTAATCTCGTTAACATAGTAGACCGTTTCAACTAGGTCTGGTCTTGTAATTTCTTTTTCATTTTAAGTATTTTACATAAAAATTTTAATGTCTAATATGTTCTTTTTTATCTAGCTAGCACAAAACAAATATAATTAAAATATAATATTATTAAGTTTTTCAAGAATGACCAATTTAATGATATTGCTATTGAACTCACTATATTCGTAACGAGGTCATGAGGTCGATCTTCCTGATTCGACTGAATAGTCTAATCATACAATATTGCAATAAGTACATATTAGCTACCTAAAAATCCTAATTGGTCTATTTTCGTTGTCACATACATAGTTAGTACATTTATCATAGTTAGCAGCTCCATATCAATATCAATATCAATATCGACACTATCGTAAATATCATCACTGCTATCAATATTGATATCTAACAAAGTTTAAGGAGTTCTTGGTTTCAAGAACTCTCCTCGGGAGAGAAGAACAAACAAAGAAGATAGGAAAGAATGGAGAAGAAATATTGTATTCATATCATAACTATTACATATGAGGTTGTGTATATATAGTTGTACATGGAAATGGAATCAAGAAGAAAGTGGTACAGAGCCGGACAGACTCAGCCTCATAGCTGTCATGTAATGGTTCGCTGACAACCCCCTGCAAATTAACCATTCTTTGTTCATATGGTTAATTTGGATCGGAGATGAGTGAACCGAGTTGCTAGTAACAGTTTGGTGAGAGCGTATGCGATCTGATCGGTTGTGCTAATGTGAGAAATTGTAATGGCTCCGTGTTTAATGTGTCCGCCGATGAAGTGATAATCGATTTCTATGTGATTTGTGTGAGCATGAAAAATGGGGTTGTTGGCGAGAGCAATGCCCGAGATGTTGTCGCACAAGATTAGTGTTGGGGTGGTCTGCAGTATTTGAAAATCCTTTACTTGAGGAAAAGAAATATTGTATTCATATCATAACTATTACAGATGAGCTTGTGTATATAGCTGTACACGGAAATGGAATCAAGAAGAAAGTGGTACAAACTTGACACGTCAGCCTCACAGTTATCGTGTAATGGTTCGTTGACAATATCGTCACTATCATAAATATAAATATCATCAATAAGATAATCTTTTAGGCTTGTCATCCACGAACTACCGTAATGAAAGGAACATAGGATTTTGTAGCTAAGTACTTGATCAAATAGAATCGTATCACTAAGAGAATTATTAGTAGAACCCAAACACCAAAAGCCAATTAACTTTTTTTAAAGGTCGAACAGAGAAAAAAAAAAACTATGTTTCTCTACCAATAGCAAATTCCATACGAACTCTATGATTGGAATGGACATTAGTGCTGACCATGAAATGAGACCAAATAAGTAGGGGTGTCAATATTTGACACGACCTGAAAATCCGACTCGAACCTGACTCGAAAATTTCGGGTTAGGGTCAACCCGAACCCGAAACAGGTCGGGTTCGGGTTCAGCATTTCGACCCATTTCAAAAATCGGGTCGGGTTTGGGTTAACCCTTTGACCCAAAATTGACCCGAAAGTGACTCGATTTTGACCCGAAAACCCGATTTTGACCCGACAACCCGAGATTGCCCATTTTTGACCTAAAAATTATCCATTTTTTGTTGGAAACGGGTCATTCGAGTCGTGTCGGGTTGACCCGGACCCGAAGCGGGTCGGGTTCGGGTCCGGAAAACTGACCCGTTTTTAAAAACGGGTCGGGTTCGGGTTGACCCGAATAGTGCCGGGTCAATTTCGGCTTCGACCCGAACCCGACCCGTGACCGAAATTGACACCCCTACTTAATTCCACACGAATATAAAGATTTTTTATTTTTTAAGTAAAAATTAAAAAAAAAAAATTTGCTTGACAACTCGTGAAAATAATGCATGACAAAATGCATATGAACTAGACTAGCTTTCATAGAAGAAAAATAAAATTTTAAATTTTAAAAACTGCATATGAACTAGAAATATTTTGTTTGGGATGACTTTTTAAGTGCTTTTTAAAGTAATTTTTTAGCTAAAAAAAATTAAACTTTTAGACTTTTATACTAAAAAGCTTCTTTAAGAAGTAATAAGAAAATAATATTGGTACAACTTTTTTATTTCTTCTTAAAATAACTATCTAATTTAAATTTTAAATTTTTTTTAACATAAAGTTGTTTTAATAAAAACTAAGAAAGCTGTTTGCTTCATTTGAGATATCTTTTTCATGCGTCCTAAAATAAATTTTTAGCACAAATAATTTAATTTTTATACTAGAAAGCTACTTTAAGAATCTGTAAGAAAGTCGTCCTAAATGAAGCCTTGTTTCATTTGGAATAACTTTATTATTGCTTCTTAAAGCAGCTTTTTAACATAAAAATTTTTAGTTGATGATACTTTTGCATTAAAAATTATTTTACAAAATAATAAAAAAGTTATTCCTAATGTTTAGTCATCACAGCCTTTGACTGCTTTTGACCACTATTTTTCCATTGATTCCAAAAAAATTTATACACGCCTTTAGCACTAACACATTTTTTTTATTTTTTTTTTATTTTTTTATTTTTTTTTTATTTTTTTTATTTTTTTTTCACTAACACATTAAATACATTTGTCAACATCATTAAAGGTTAGAGTTAAATAAATACACGCGATTAGCACTAACATATATAATATGTTAAGAACATTTAAAACCATTCAAATATAATTATTTAAAATAAATTCAGCAACTGAATTTGATGAGCCCACAAAGTATTTTTGTTCATAATAATTGCTGTTCGTAAAAAAAATCTACTTTCGATTCCCCTGCGCTGAGAAAAAGCGACTGAGACATGGCCGATGGCGCCGCGCCACTGCTACCCTCCAACTCCGGTGATAGAACAGGAATCTCGCAGGAATCCAGCGAACCTTCTTTTAATAAGAAGAAGACTCCGGCCAACTTCATCAACGACGCTATCGAACGATATATGGATGCCGCCGCCGGCCCCACTCATCTCCTTCTCCCTACTCTCGCCGCCTTTGCATGGTTCTTCGACGCCCAGCAAGCTTTCATAAGCATCTTCTCGGACGCCTCGCCGCCATGGCACTGCACCACCTCCGCGTGCACTACCTCCATCACTCCCTGTAATTTTCCCTACTCCTCCTGGTCCTATTCCCTTCCCCGACACGTCTCCACCATGTCCGACTTCTCCCTCTACTGCGCCTCCCCTGTTCTCCTCGGCCTCCCCGCCTCCGCCTTCTTCGGCGGCTGTCTCTTCGGCGGTCTCCTCCTCGCAACCATCGCTGATTCCCAACTCGGCCGCAAAAAAACCCTCGTACTAACCACCCTTTTCATGTCCATAGCCTCGGCTCTCACCGCCTTCTCCCCCAACGTCGCCGTTTACGCCACCCTCCGCTTCGTCTCCGGCTTCGCCCGAGCCAACATCGGCACCTGCGCGTTCATCCTCTCCTCCGAACTCGTCCCTCGCCGCCGCCGCGACCTAATCAGCATCCTCAACTTCTTCTTTTACACCATCGATCGGCTTCCTCTCCCTACCCGCCATTGCTTTCGTAAACAAAACCTCATCTTGGAGATCCCTCTACCTCTACACTTCAATCCCATGTTTTTTCTACAGCATCATCGTCCATTTCTCAATGAAAGAATCCCCTCGCTGGCTTCTAGTAAAAGGAAGAGCGGAAGAAGCCATAGAAACACTTAAAAATCTCACCTTTTGCGAGAAGCAGAGCTTCTCCGATTTGAAAGAGATCGAAATCACAGGGGCGGCGGAAAACAATATCTTCTCGGCAGCGAGTATTCTATGTGGGAAGCGATGGGCAGTCCGGCGGCTGGCAGCGATTACAGCGGTGAGCTTCGGCGTCGGCATGGTTTACTACGGCATGCCGCTAAATCTCGGTAACCTTAGCGCCGATCTTTACCTCAGCACGGCGCTGAACGCCGTCGCCGAGCTGCCATCATCGCTGGCCGCATTCTTGATTGCCCGGTGGATGAAAAGGCGGAGCTCGATGGTGGCGTTCACAACGGTGAGTGGAATCTGTAGCATTATCTGTACTTTAATGGCGGGCGGTGGATGGTCGGAAATGGCGGTGGAGTTGGCATCGTTCTTTGCGGCGTGTACGGCGTGCAATGTGTTGATTATATATAGCGTGGAGTTGTTTCCGACTTGCGTGAGGAACTCGGCGATAGCGGTGGTGAGACTGGTGATAGTGCTCGGCGGTGCTGTGGCGCCGGTGATGGTGGCGATGGGCAGGCAGAGGAGGTTTCTGTCTTTTGGGGTGTTCGGTGCTGTGATATTGTTCGCCGGATTGTTCGCCGGTTTCTTACCGGAAACGAAGGGGTGTGGAATCAGTGATACGATGGAGGAGGAAGAAATCAAAGAGATAGCGGCGAGGAATGCCGGGCCATGATTACCATTGAAAATTTGTTAAAAATTTTATTAAGAGTGAATTTCAAATATGTTAAATAAATTAGGATATTAGGTTTTTTTATATTAGGGTAATTTAAATATAGTATGAGCTAACTATATCATATTTTTTCTTTTTTCTTTTTAATTATTTGGTTGGTTATATAAGGTTGTAAATGAACCGAGCGATCGACGAGATCATACGATACTCATAGGTCAGGTGATTAAAAGCTCGTTTATGTTTGATTAACTAATCGAATAAGCTTAAACAGTTTCATAAATACTCGGTTATTAAACAGAAGCTTGGTTAAGACTTCGTTTGGGTGGCTTTCTTACTGCTCTTTAAAACAGTTTTTTTAGTATAAAAGTTTTCATTTAAGAAACTTTTGTACTAAAAAGCTATTTTAGAAAGCAAGAAGAAAGACGAAAGACGTCCCAAACAAAACCTAAGGCTCAATAAAAAGTTCGATTAGGTATTGATATGATGTTAAAACTTAAAGCAAGATTAAGGCTATGCTTATTATTTTGCACATTTAACACTCAATTAATTAACTTTTTTGTAAAAAAATTAAATAAGATTCGAGCAAAATTAAATATTTCCCAATCTAGTCCTAAAAATTTATTTTCCTTATAAATTTATTAATTTTGATTTAATTTCTTAATATATCAAAACATATTTGAATCAAAATTTTATGCGCAATGTAATGATTTATTTAATTTATAAAAGTATTTAGAATTAATTTATATTTATATAACAAGATATTATTACATATATTCATAAACAAAATATTACTATCATATATTATTATATTATCTAATTGTATAGATTTTATTTTCTATATTCATCCAATTTTTGAACAGCTCTCATATGCATTTATATTCATCCAATTTTTAAATAATTAAAGCTTTAAAGATAGTTTTTTAGTCCATCCGGAGGCGAATCAGGACGCGCCACATCACTTTTTTGTCGTGTAACACTGTATACTGGGTGACGTGGCACGTCCTAATTCGCCTCAAGATGATCCGATTACCACACATAATAATTTCTCCACTCACAGGATGTTTATGAATATTAGAGATAATTGTGCGCGGAGTTCGAATATAATTTTTCCACACGTAATAATTTTTTGTATGGCACAAACTTGAACAACATACTTTAGTTGGTTGAGAAGGTGCTTCTTATCTTAACCCCATTAATGTTTTTATCTTATAAAATTGGCAAGATAATGTATATATATATAATTTAATAATTTTTATAAAAAAATTCTAACACATTTTTTTATATTTTATCAGACATGTGTAATAATTCTAACTAGCTAACAAATTTAAAAAATAATTATGTCAGGATATAAAGATGCGTAAAATATTAAGATGGGATTTAAAATTATTAGTGTTGCGGGCTAGAATATACGCGGCGATAGAGTTAGGAGATTTCCGCCTCATCGTTGCACGAATATCCAGCACACAAACATAAAAGAAATGGAAATATCAAGATTTTTACGTGGAAACCCTGAAATGGAAAAAACCATGGGCATTGCCTAGTTGAAATAGTTCAACTAGTGTTTTATTTGAAATATAAGAAGCTGACTCGTCCATAGAGTTAGGACGATTAGATTACAATGAATCTCTTCTAAATTGAGATTCAGTTAAAAAGTTCAACAGAGTTTTAGCGTCACTCCGAAGTTGAGTAGAATTCCGACGTCACTCTGGCGTCGGGCAGAACTCCGGCAGTAGTCGAGGAGGAGTTATTCCCTCCTATCATTCTCTTCTCTTCTTCTCCTTTTCTTCTCTTCTTCTTAGTTATTCCCTCCTATCATTCTCTTCTCTTCTTCTCCTTTTCTTCTCTTCTTCTTGCTTCGGTCCCTTCTCATGAGAAATGAGGGGTCTATTTATAGATTTTATGGAGTGGTATAGCTCGTAAATAGGTGTGAGATCAGGGGCAAATAGGGTGATGACTGTAACCGGCGTTCAATCGTCAACCAGATTTCATAAGAGGATTCAATGTTCAATATATACGGTAAGAGAGAGGCTGAGACGGTGGAGTAGATAGCAGATGCAAGATGTTGATCTATGAGTAGCCAAGTTGAGTACAGAGGATTAATTTTACTGTTTCCACTGGAATCCAGTATATATTTTACCGGCGGAGGAATTTCTCCGGTGAGATAGCCGTCGAAGTTGTTAGCAGTAAACAACTTCAAAAGCTGAGACTTCCAGATCAAATGATTCTCCGTCGTAAGCTGAACGGTGACCATGGACTTCACATTGGCCATGAAGAACTTCAGTTGAGGTGGAATAAGAATTTCCTTAGATGGCTCACTTGAGCCAGATTCCGCCATTGCTGTAGATGAAGCTTCCGCCATTTTTTTTTTTACAGAGAGCAGGATTTAGAACCTACCGCTCTGATACCATGTTAGATCAGAAGCGCTGAACCTGAAACAGAGTTAGACAATAACAAAGAGGAAGAAGAAGAGGGGGTTAGCAGTAAACCAATTAACAGCCATGTTAGATAACCCGAGAGCTTCATCTTCTTCCATAAAGAGCAGTTGCTACAGTGCTCAGCTTAAGTAGCTGAGTTGGTTACAAAAGCACTGGTTGAGATCAAACAGCAGTGATCCAACGGTGAGCAGAAAAAGTGAATACTGCCATGGCAGCGATAGTGGGGATCAACATATATATGTGAGCCGACTTATACACATAAGACATAGAGCTTATCTTTTTAGCTTATCACATCGTATCACTGATCCCACACCCCTTCGTCTCCGGCAAGAAACCGGCGAACAATCCGCCGAAGAATATTATAATACCAAACAGCCCAAAAGAAAGAAACTTCCTCCGCCGCCCCGCAGCCACCATCACCGGCGCCACAGTTCCGCCGATCACCACCACCTGTCTCAAAACCGCTATCGCCGAGTTTCTGACGCTAGTCGGAAACAACTCTGCACTATATATAATCATCAAGTCGAACGCCGTACAAGCCGCGACGAAAGATCCCAACTCCGCCACCATCTCGACCCATCCACCGCCTGTCATTACCGTACAGACAAGGCTACAGATTCCGCTTACCATGGTGAACGCCACCATCGAGCTCCGCCTATTCATCCACCGGGCAATCAAGAATGCGGCCAGCGATGAAGGCAGCTCGGCGACGGCGTTCAGCGCCGTGCTTAGGTAAAGGTTGGCGGTAAGGTTACCGAGGCTTAACGGCATGCCATAGTAAACTATGCCGACGCCGAAGCTCACAGCCGAAATAGCCGCCAGCCGCCGGACCGCCCATCGCTTCTCCAATAGAATCCTCACCGCAGAGAAGATATTGTTTTCCGCCGCCGTCGCGGCCGCTGCCGCTATGTTTTCGATTTCTGTCAGATCGGAGAAGCTCTGTTTCTCCATGAAGGTGAGATTTTTAAGTGTTTCGATGGCTTCTTCTGTTCTTCCTTTTATTAGAAGCCAACGAGGGGATTCTTTCATCGAGAAATGGAGGATGATGCTGTAGAAAAAGCAGGGAATTGAGGTGTAGAGGTAGAGGGATCTCCAAGATGAGGTTTTGTTCAGGAAAGCAATGGCGGGGAGGGAAAGAAATCCGATGGAGTAGAAGAAGAAGTTGAGAATGGTGATTTGGTCGCGGTGGCGGCGGGGGACGAGTTCGGAGGAGAGGACGAAGGCGGAGGTGCTGATGTTGGCGCGGGCGAAGCCGGAGACGAAGCGGAAGACGGTGTAAGCGGCGAAGTTGGGAGAGAAGGCGGTGAGAACGGACGCTATGGACATGGAAAGGGTGGTGAGGACGAGAGTGTTTTTGCGGCCAAGTTGGGAATCGGCGATGGTGGCGAGAAGGAGGCCGCCGAATAGACAACCGGCGAAGAAGGAGGATGCTGGGAGGCCGACGAGAACAGGGGAGGTGCAGTAGAGGGAGAAGTCGGAGATGGTGGAGATGTGGCTGGGTAAGAAATAAGACCAAGAGGAGGAGGGAAAATTACAGGGAGTGGAAGAGGGGGAGCAGGCGGAGGAGGTGCAGTTCCATGGCGGCGAGGCGTCGGAGAAGATACTGATGAAAGTCTGATGGGCGTCAAAGATCCACGCGAAGGCGGCGAGAGCAGCGAGAAGAAGATGGGTGGGCCTGGCGGCAGCATCCATATAGCGTTCGATCGCGTCGTTGATGGAGTTGATGGCAGTGTTCTTTTTGTTAAAAGTATTAGAGCACAATATCAAGACCGGTGAAGAATAGGATATAGCTCTCTATATTGCCTTATATGTAACCACGGAAATTTCCTATATATACACCTGCTGTGCTTAGAATAAACGATAATAAAAATCATTTCAAGATTCTCTTTTCTCTGTGCTGTTTCCACGATCCATTCTCTACTCTTGAAGGAGCATTAATTTCTACAAAAAGAGGGTTCTTTGGATTGCGGCGAATTGCCGGTTATGTCGCCTGAGTGGGAGGGTAGGAGCGGCACGGCGGCGTCGGCCACGGCCATTTCTCTTCGTCCTTTTCAGAGCCTAGGAACGACTGAAACTGAGATTTGGTAAGCACAAGAATCCGAATGGCGGAGATTCTCAGCCATAAATCATCAAATTCAATTTTTTTTTGTTTTTGTTTTTTTGTTTTTGTTTTTTTTTTCCCCTAGGCCAACGGCCACCTACTTATGTACGAATAATTATTAGGTGTGGAGTGTAGACGGAGAGAGCACCGTCTGCACAGATATAGGGTACCAAGCGGTACCTAGTAGTATCCAGCGGTACCGAACGGTACATAGTTGGATTTTATACTAGTGTGGAGACGGTTCTCCCCGTCTACACTCCGCACCTAATAATTTCTCTTTACGTACGGGAGAAATTATTAGCTGCGGAGGCCATCCAATTGATGTGATGCATTCTAATTGATTTTCTAACAACTGATCTGCATGTAATAATTTAGCTGTGGATTTAGTAGAAATTTTTAAAAAGGAGTATGCTTAAAATTTAATTAAGTAAAAGAAACGTTATTATTAAAAAAATTAAAAATAAATAAATTCTTCAAAGATCAAATTATAAATGTTATAGTTTTGATTTAGTGAATGAGCACATTTAAAAATTAATTTTAAAAGAAGCAAAAAGTAAAACCAAATTATGTATTCTAAGAATTGTTAAACAGTTCTTCGACTTTTTAGAAAATAAAAAATGATGAGAAATAGCCTGCGGGCAGATGACGGAGGTCGGAGGAATCATAGTCGGCGGGCGACGGTGGTCAGAGGGACCTTAGTCGTTGGGTGACAGAGGCCTGAGAGATTGTAGTTGGCTGGCGATGATGGTCTAACAGACAGTCATCGGTGGTCGTAAGTCGACGGGTAATAGTGATTGGACGGATCATGGTCGGGGACGATGATGGTCGAAGGGATTCTAGTCAGCTGACGATGGTGATCGGAGGGACCGTAGTCGGATGGAGCGTAGTCAGCAACCAACGGTGGTCCAACGACGAACGATGGTCAAGTGGTGGTCCGACGATGGTCAAGATGAAGTCTAGCGGCTGGGTGGTGGTTAGACGGCGGTCGGTGACTGCGCTAAGGTCCAAAGTCGGTTGATGGAAGTTCATCAGTGGCGGTGCTTAGGTGGAGCTGTAAATCCTTAAAGCCTCATAGCTCTCCCTCTCTCCAATTGGGGCCAAAGGTCCAAGCCCAAGCCCCCTTCATGTAGAGAGTGTGTTTATTTTTATATTTGTGAGAGTGGCACACCCTGTATATAGAAAAAATTTGGGGCAAATTTAGAGTGCTCCATCAGATGGTCATATCGATTTCCTAGATCATAGAGCATTTATCAATCATTTTTTGTGCCCGAACGATGACAAGATTAAGCGATCTTGGGCTCGTTGAGTTTGTCTAGCTGCTCGATTCAACTATAAGCATCTCATATTTAGAGATTATTTAATCCTCTAATTAATGTTTTGAAGCGTCCAAATATTAATTATTGGTCTCTAACCGCATTCGAACACCGGATGTAATAATTGCTCCTCTCTCTCTCCCCCATTCTACTTAACTCCCCAAACCCCTTCTCTCTCTCTACCTCATGTATTTGATTTAATGAAAAAAAAAATACAAGAGTTTTTTCAAATTTAAAACTTTGTTTAATAAAAAGATAATAATAAAAATAAAACTTTAGTGCTTTGTTTTTTTCTCTCCCTTGCTTATATTTCATGTTCTTCGGCTAACTATTGCGGCATTTTATAGAGGAGAAAAATAAAGCATCCTCATAGATAAAAAAAGAAATATATACAAATTTAATTAATTTAAAAATATTAAAAAACATCTGTTACATATTAAAATTAAAACTAAAAAAAAATTCTTTTTTTATTCTTATTTTTTTGTAATAAACCAGAAATCTTAAAATATACTGTTAAAATTTTGAAAAAATAACACACTCCACCTAATGCTTATGATGATGATAAAATATAATTAAATATAAATTGTTTTTAAAAATCCAATAGATATTGCAATTTCATCCTCTTTTTTTCAAACTTTGTTTGATATTTACAAACAAATCTTGCAAGAAACTGAAAAAAATAAAGCTGCAAACAAATAAATTGGCATGTGATAATTAACAAATCCTTTCAGATCCAAAGCATTTGAATTTAGTTGTTCTCACTTCATAAATAAATCACAAGCAACTTTGTTCAATAAAATCTCTAAAAATCAAATTTTTATTCCGTCAGGTTACTTGATATAGCTCTACGTCAGGTAGCCAATAATATGTCGTCACGTGCTCTTCCTCTTTACCGCACGGCCCGACAAACCGACCCGGAAGGGACCCGAGAGTTTGCATATTGCTCGGTATTACTAGGTATTGGTCGATTTTGCTCGATAAAAAAGAAAAATATCATTCTGTGAAGATCAATACCGTTATACCGAGTTCTTTTAGGTATTACTCGGTATTGGTCTTCATAGAGCGGTATTTATCGTTATTGCCAAGCAATACCTAGCAATACCGAGTAAATACGCGAACATGTAATCCCGGATTCGGTCCAAGTCGGGTCGTCGGGCCGTGTAGTAAAGAGTAAGAGCACGTGGCTATATATTATTAGCTAATGACGTAGAGCTACATCAGACGGAATAAAAATTCCTAAAAATCAGGCTGTAGCAGCTGAAGCTGCAGCAAGGCGTTTCCTGGCCTCCTCAATTATGGAGAGCTTGATGCCCTTACCTTTAGGAAGAGAAACCCAAGGCTTTGTTCCCTTGCCAATGGTGAAGACATTCGCGAGCCGGGTCGCGAATTCATGGCCTGAAGCATCCTGGATGTGGATGGTCTCAAAGGTCCCCTTGTGCTTTTCCCTGTTCTTGATCACCCCGACACGGCCCCTGTTCCGGCCGCCGGTGACCATCACGACATTTCCGACGTCGAATTTGATGAAGTCGACGATCTTGTTCGCCTCCAGATCGAGCTTTATTGAGTCGTTCGCTTTGATCAGAGGGTCGGGATATCGGATTGTTCGGCCGTCGTAGGTGTTCAGGTGAGGGATACCTTTCTGTCCAAACTGTACAGAACGAACTTTGCAAAGCTTGAACTGGAAGGGGGTAAGAGGATATATAAGCCACAGTAAGAAAAACTAAGATACAGATGATTATGGAGAATAATATCGTATTGGGTGAGAAGGAGAAATTCAGCTCCAGCTAATTAAACAGATTAAACATGCTAGATGTTCATCTTTCAATGTATTGAGCTCGCTTCATATTTCACAGCTATTCAACATCAGTTAGCATGGCCAACAAGTATGAACAAACATCAATTAGGACCAAAGGAGAGAGAATACAAAAAGCTAGAGACATAAAATATGAAGCAGTGTCAACTGTTTTGTTAGCTAGCTAAAAAGTAGTTTCTTAGTATAATTTTTTTTTTTTTAATTTGAAATTTTTGTACTAAAAAATTGATTCATAAAGCAGTAAGAAAATTGTCTTAAACGAAGAAGAAATTATTCTGTGCGGAGACCGGACACATAACGCCATCTGGAGACCAACCAGAATGCGCCACGTCAGCAGTACCGATCTGCGGTACCAAGCAAGGGGTGATGTGACATATTCTGGTTGATCTTCAGACGAAATTCGGCATCCGCACAGAATAATTTTTCCAAACGAATCCTAAACCTTCTAAAAGATAAAGTTAGAATTATAAAAAATGCGGAAATATCTCAAAGAGAACTACATCAAGAGAGGATAAAGAAGGGTTAAAGGTAAATATTCTAGCAAAACAAAATTGTAAACAATAAGACCGACTATACTAGTATTACTGTTGGGCAACAAGAAAAACCCTCATTACAAATTGAACTAGACAACATAGATATCATGATTAAAAATTGTATAAAATATATTTGCACAACATAGAGTTACCACATAATGCAACAATAAATAAAAATAAATGGAGAATGAATGTTCATAAATTATATTAGAAATAGTTGGGGAATGCTAAATTATTCAAATTACCAACATGCTAACTACTACAATCACATCACCAATATCCTTTTGGATTTAGCTTTTCAAATTTGCTTCCATGTCTGTTAATAGATATATTTGGCATAAAATTTATGTCATAGCTATAAGTAGGAGAAATTATTTTGTGTGGATACCGAACGGTCCAGAGACCAATCATAACACGCCATATCACCCGGTACCGAGCAAAAAAGTGACGTGGTGATTGGCAAAGTCTAGCCACATGATGTGTCCCATTCACTCTTGAACACATCAAACAAAGTCAATAGAGAACATGCATAAAGCATGCTATCAGAATAAAAGAAAATGTGAGAAAAGTGGATGAATGGTGTCAAAAGCCATCAGGAAAAGAACAACTATAGTAAGGTCTGGCTTCTCTGGGGCACTAGTTGAGCATGCCAACAGTTGTCTTTCCATTTTTTTCCATAAAATGTGGCTTAAGAGCCCATTAAGAAAAGTTATTGAAGTACTTGCTCAAAGCTGTGGAGATTGACAACTCATAACAAGCAACTAACACCAAACATTCCTATGTCCACCTAAGGTCGGATCCATGAAACCTTTATCGTAGCTTCCATACAAAAAAACCTTTTAGTTGGGATCTCAAAATATTCATTTTACCAACAGCTTAGAGCCACAACCATTTTATGCATGAAATTTATAGTTTGATCGCATTAAATGACTATATAAGATGGTGTTGGCTTAATAAGCATGAGATGAAATATACTGCAAGTGTAAAAACACTCCAAGGAATGATGTTTGTCACACTACAACTATTTGAGATTTAAAATTATCATATTTTATTACTTAGTTGCCATGTTTACCATTGGCTTTGCCACCTTATGAATGACATTAAATCTATAGTTACACTTGCATGTTTCCCTTTAAAAATTTCTCACAGTTGCTATCTCACCAAGTGTTGGGTCGACACAGGAAGAAGCAGAAGAGAGCTAAACAAGAGCAAGATGATGGAAACCAATAGTCATTGGGTAGATTTACCATTGGAAAGAGAGTTGATAAGTGCAAAGTTGTCAGATTGAACCGCCTAGGTTTCTCAAGTCTATTTTCAGTCTTTTCCTTGTTTAGATCTAGGTCCTCATCCAATGGGCGCCAACTTCAGATTTTTATCAACTTGAATTAATTAAGTAATTTGTGACGTGTATGAGCACTTTGATTTCTTGCAGATTATTTTCTTATATACTCATTGTGAGAGATACGATTTTCTTATATGCTAATTGTGAGGGATACGGCAAGAGAGAAGGAATCTCTATCTCTCTCTCTTTCTCTGTTCCTAGTGGCAATTACCTCACGAACGATGAGTTAATTCTCATTGAATCGTTGTGACCATAGTTGATTGATTAGACCTCCGCCCTCACTGATTTTGAAGTCTAGACAAAAACAAATAGCCATAGCTACACAATCACAAGAAAATAAATATACCTTCGCCTCTTCATCTCTAATTGAATGCAACCGGAAGCGCCCCTTTGTATCATAAAGAAGCCGAAAATTTTCATTGGTTTTAGGGATTTGGATGACATCTACATTAAAAAAGGTAATTAATGAAAAATCAGATAGAATCAACAAAACACAACAAGCATTTAATAACAACATTACAAGTACATGTGTGCCCTCTATAAAGAATTCAATTCTAAATATTCAGGTAAAGTTCATAGTTAACATACCCATAAACCCGGACGGATAGGTCTTATCAGTCCTGACCTTCCCATCTACCATCACATGGCGTTGCATCAAAATAGCAATGACTTCGCGGTAAGTGAGTGCATATTTCAATCTGTTCCTCAAAATAAGGATCAACGGCAAACATTCCCGAGCTTTGTGGGGGCCAGAAGATGGCTTTGGAGCCTATAATGCAATGATGCAATTCTCCAATAAGATAACTGTGACAGATAAATATAGAATGAGAAATTGCTTTCCTAACTTACAAAAGCACCACCAAGCTTGTCAAGCATCCAGTGCTTGGGGGCATTGAGCCTCTTAAGATGCTTCTTCAATCCTCTAGCCTGCAAGGGAAACAAATAACAAAGATTAGAGAGCATACTTAATATCAAAAGTAAGAATATCCATTCAACCAGTGCAACTCAACAGTCACCACAGGAAATAATGAATATCAACAAAATTAACACATATTTCACATGTCATGTTGGAATTATATTACCAGAAAACATATGCTAACCCCTGTTGCATATCAAGAACATCCCAATGGTAAATGTACAGAAAATTTTTTAAAAGGCATTAATAAAGGATGTTCAATTTCTAGGCATATAAACATTTTATCAGCAGATGTTTAAAAATTCCAGTAAGTTAAATAAACAGATTATTCACAAAGATGATAAACCGAATAAAACATATAAGTTATACAAATAGATTTATGCAACAAGATTTAAGATCTCATGGTAGGAGTTTGCATCAGCTGGTTTAACTAAAAAAATTAAACCAACCCGAACACCTTTGGTTGAATTGATTTGATATATTAAATAATGGTTCGGTTTTTTGTATGGGAGTAAAGTAATCGCATTTTTGAAATTTGAGCATTTGGACAGATGCATTTCAAAAGCAATGTATTTTGAGAGTGCATTTGGAAATCATCCTCGAGTTCACTTTGAGTATATTTGGAATTCACCCGTTTTGAGCAATTTTCAAATACAAAGACTGGGTAAAAACAATATTGGTTTGCCGCCGCCTTGACTGTTGATCACTTCCATTTGTAGTATATTCAACCAAAGAACTTAAAAGTATTTTCAATATACTACTTTTACTTTAAACTACATTCTTTGTACTCTACATTCATTTCTCATCAAATCAAACAACCCCATAGTTTTACAACCAAACTACTTAAAAGTATTTTCAATATACTACTTTACTTTAAACTGCATTCTTTGTACCCTACGTTCATTTCTCATCAAACCAAACAACCCCATAGTGTTATTTAGATTACTATGAATGGTTTGATTTCAAAATAAAATTTTTTGGTTCGACTAAAAAACAAAATTCTATCTTATTTCTAGGCCTACTTATTGCTACTTGGATCTAAGAAATAAAGTACAACAAACTACTTGTTTCTCTATCTCGATTGTCAAACTACCTCTACATCTCATCACTCCCACCACCGTACCAAATTTTAGTGATAAAATATATAGTTTAGAAAAAATGCATTGCATTATGAGCTGAATTTTAGAAAAAATGCATTACATTATGAGCTAAATTTAACTCAAGATATTCATAGTCTAAATTTTTACCCATTCAATATTGCCTTTTTTTGCAAGGAAACTTTGAACTGCTAGATAGATTTACAAAAAAGACAACAATTTTAATTGCTTTTTATCTCAATTAGAAGCAAGTAAGCTTAAATACACCATATTTAGATAATTATATTCATTCATATTTTATTTAGCAATAAAATATGAACACCTTACATGGACATGCAATGTACCAACATTTGCAAGATGGCCATACAAGGTACTCTCAATGCCATAAGAATGTAGGGGTGTCAACATTGGACCCGACCCTAAAACCAGACCAAAAAATTTCGGGTTTGGGTTGACCCGAACACGAAGCGGGTCGAGTTCGGGTCCTGAAAACTGATCCGTTTGCAAAACCGAGCCGGGTTCGGGTTGACCCGGGAACTCGAGAATGACCCGGAAACCAAGCTGCCCTGCTGCCCCGCGCCTGCCGCCCCGTGCCAGCTTCCCCGTTCCGCGCAACGCCGACTGTCACGTCGCCGACACCGCCCGACGCATTGTCCCTAAACCCTAAACGGTCGGGTCGGGTTGACCTGAACCCGAAGCGGTCGGGCCCAAAAAATCGACCCGTTTGCAAAAACGGGTCGGGTTGACCCGAACCCGAATAGTGTGGGTTCAGTCACGGGTTCGACCAGAACCCGACTCATGATCCGAAATTGACACCCCTATAAGAATGGCTTACATGGACATAGAAGAGGTATCTCCAATTAGGCATTCTGTCTGATATCGAAATGCAAAATAAAACCGTTTTGAGGTGCATCCTGCCACTAATGGCCAAGAGTAAAATTCAGAGGCTGCGAAGTGTGGACACAAAAGTTTACCCTTTAAGCGAAATTCAACACACAAAACTAACTTTTGGACATCTCTGCATCTAATATATGAAAAATTTACAAATCCATTACTCAATTAACATTCCATGATTAGAAAAACGATGAAAGAAAAACTTACAAACCCCCTCAAACATTAAACTTTCCACACCAATTACGAGAAATTGTAAGCAACAACGAAGAAACATTAATAAATCTTGCATTCGCAGTATAACCAGAAAAAAAATGAATCTTGCGTCCTTAAGGCTTAAAAAAGCGAAAGATCTAAACAAATGCCGTTTCCTGGCACACACAATTGCACAATTTCTGCGTTGTTCCAACCCCACAACCTAGATCGGAACATAGTTAGAACGAGAGTGACGTAACTTACCATTTTTTATCGAGTTCTTCCCGAAACAGCCGATTAATGCCTTCGATCTTAAGGAGGAGAAGCGAATACAGAACTAGGGTGAGGAAGCCGCCGAGCAAATATATAAGGCTAGGGTTGCCCGCCAAATGACAATTTTACCATTCCCTTTGTAAATATATTTCAGTATTTTTGTATTTCATAATCTTAATAAAACAAGCCAAAATAGGAGGAATTAAAAACATATACATAATTCTTAGGTATTTAAAATTTTATATTATTTAAAAAATAATTTAATGCCAAAATTATATTAAAATATGATTCTTTAAAAAACTAATATGAATAATTTTGTATATGAATTAGAAATTATGATACTATATATAAATTAAATTGCATTTAATGGCCTATTTTGGGTAGTTTTATCTCTATTTTTTCAAATAGCAATTATAGGTTTAGTTTGAGATAGTCTTTTTTAACTATTTTTAAAAATATTTTTTTTGTACAAAAATTTTTTTAACTAAAAATTTTTATACTAAAAAATTATTTTAAAAAACAGTGAAAAAGTTATCTCAAACAAAGACATAATTTTATTTGGCAATTATTTTCTTATTATTTTTCATTATTTTTTATGGTGGAAAACTTTTTTTTGAAATTAGAGTAGCTAAGGCTTATTTGAGACAGCTTTTTCGTTGATTTCTAAAACAACTTTTTAGCACAAAAAATTCTAATTCAAGAAATTTTTTAACTAAAATACTATTTTAAAAAACATTTCTCAAACAAACCCTAAGCTATTTTTAATATAACAATTTCATAACCGACTTTATAAACGAACGCTAAATTTTCATATGTATTAGTAATCAATTAACTTATTGATACAAATAATAACATAGAAGTGAAGCAAATTGATATTTTAATTAAATAAACAAAAATGAGTGGGTAAATTAAATTTTCAATGTAAAATTATAACTTGACTATACCTAGGAATTACATGAAATACATAATTATTAAATTTACACAAATATCTTTCTAAATAATGTAAAAATGATTGTAAAGATGAATATTGTGCCAATAGTATTATAGATGTGCCAATCTCAAGAAAAATTATTAGGTGTAAGTATGCATTATCCGCACAAGTACTGAGTACCCAGCGGTACCGAGTGCCGATACCTAGCTGAGTATAGTGCTTGTGCGGACGGTTCTCCCGTCCACACTCCGCACCTAATAATCTCTCCAATCTCACAGCGATTTCACGGTGAAGACAAGGGAGGGAATCGTCTGTAGAAATCACTTCTTCCTCCTCTCTGCAATCCAAAGCTACAAGTTCTTGCAGTCCTGGTGTTTGTGGAAATGCCTCAAAGCAGCTGACTTCAGATTTTCCTCAACTTACGGTTCACCCTCTACGGTCCAGCATTGGTATTCTCCTTTCAACTTTGAAAGAGGAGCTAGTGCCCAGAAAAGGAAAGAATTCATTCCTATTTCGCGTCCAAGTAAAGCTGCTATTGTAGCCGACGATGGTATTACAGTATCCCTTGACATGGGTGCTCATATTTTAGATGAGACGACAAACAAAACTATTTTAATTTAGGTCCCCCTAAATAAAATTTCTGGCTCCGCCACTGATTGGAGCTACTCCAACCTACAATTACATAATAAAACAAGAGGACATACATGTTAAATTAAGCTTAAAATATTAAACCTACAATTTTTGACAATCTCAAATTTCATGAAAATGGGTTAAGATGAAAATATGGAGAAAATAAGGGAGGTCCTTGCACTTCATGATTGTGGAGGTTCCATACAAGAATGATTTGCCAATATTACTTACTCTTGATGAAGAGAATTAGGAGTAACCAAAACATTCGCTGTAGTTATAAATATTTGTGTATAAATTATTAAATATGATTATATTATGGGAGATTTATCACACATTTTCATACAAAAAATTATGAAAAATATTATGGAGCACATAATAGTTCAAGTGATTTGGACTTATAACATAATAAATATATTTTTTTTAATATGAGATAATCAAATTAAATTCAAAAAGAACATTTTAAATAAAAAAATTAAGTCATAATTTCCCTTTTTTTTAATTTGGATGATGAAATAAAGGCAATGTATCTTCTTAGGTGTGAAAAAATATAACTATTTTAAAGCCTAAGGTTTCCTCTCTCTCTCTCTCTTTTTTAATTGGAATATGAGAGAGCTTGCAATCAAGTGTGAAATAATATCGAAGAAACTTAGCTTGAAGGTGACCTGAACCCAAACAGGCACAGCTATAAGAGCATCGGCAACAAAAAGGATTTCTTTAGACCATTATACCCTCACAATTTGTCCCAATTAATGATTATATTATATTTTGTTATTGATAATTCATCCATCTTTTAAAATTATGACACTCAATTGATTATATATATATATATATATATATATATAATAAAATACCATAAGACATACTCACTAACAGGAAAGCATCAAAGAGAAAAGACTCTTACAGTCTTGCCTCATTTGAAAATTGTTTATTATAACAAATGCAGAACATTTAAGAGATCAAAGCTTCATTTAACTGAAAAGACATATGACAGTAGCATACTGCAAAAAGAATAGTGCAAAATTAATCTTATGTAGAGGTGTAACCGAGTCAAGCTGACCCACGAGCCATCTAGGACTCAACTCGTTAACAGGTTGGACGAGTCAAGCTTATTGAGCCTGCGAGTTGAGCTTGAACACGACTTCGAACTCGACGGCTTATCGAGCTCGAGCTCGAACAAACCTCCGCTCGACTAGTGAGCTCGTCGAGCAGCTCGCGGAGGTGACCTTTCGTTGCTGACGGGAAAACGAAATCTCGAGCTCGGTCGGGCGGGAAAATGAATTGAGGGCTGGGTAGGAAAACAAAATCTTGAGCTCACGTGCTGCTTGACGACAGAGCTCGAGATGACAGTGGACGTGACAAAGGAGCTCGGGATGACGGAGCTCCCGTGCTGCTAGCCTACTCAGGACGGAGCTCGACGAGCCGCTTGGCGTGAGACGAGTCGAGCTCGAGCTCGACTAGAGTTTGAGCTCGAGCTCGACTCGAGTTTGAGCTCAAGCTCGAGCTCGGTATTTGGTTGTCGAGCTCGACTCGAATACCCCCGGACTCAAGCTCGACTCGACTTGTTTGCACCCCTATCTCATATCACCAGAAAACTTGTTATATCTATGAAAACTTTGATTTTTTTTTAGCAGGAATTTGTAAGAACAACAGTTCTAATTACATACGACTAAAAATAAAGCTTGTGAAGACATAATTGAAGCAGAAAATGTAAGGTATCTTCATTTGTAACAAGTATAATTGTTATGCTGTTATAAGGCTAACATAATGGAAATAAAATCTATTTAAGTATTTAACCTATTTAGTTTGGCCATTCCAGTTGCTCTTACAAACAGACAAAACAAGAGAAAACAGTCCCAGAAGGGCTATATGAACCTGCTCAGTGTTGCTAGTCTTGATAGAAATTTGCCCATTGCATCTATTGTTAAGCCCAACACGAAGCGCCATCTTTGAATTCCGACCGTTGGAGAACTCAGACTGAAAATCAGCACCCACAGCAAAGTCTCTCCATTTAATCACAGATAGACCAAAGGCATTAAGAGCTTGCCCAATAGGATAATCCTTTTCCCTGAAACAGACCTCCAAATCCACTCCACAAAACATATTTCTTTGTGCTCGAACCACGCCATTACTGGCAACCAGGCAAAGCTTCTTCCCAAGATTAATCTGTTCTTCTAATTTAAGTCCAGTTTTCTTCTTCAAGTTCCTGAACCTGGTCTCAGACTGAATGGAGTAAGCCATCTGCTTCCCAATCTGTGGGTTGGATTCAATGGAGGAATCTAGGTGGATGGTGAACTCCTCTTTGTCTTTCATGATCTGAACAGCGAAAGACACAGGGAACTGACGTGCAATATCAATACTTTGACCTCCTTTCTCTCCCTGCATCTTTTTCAATCTTTTGAGCTGAACATGAGCTTTGGTAAGCTTTTGAACTTGAGATTTCTTCAGGAGTTAATCGAGTTCATTATCATAGTCTAGTACTTCTTTTGTCATGTTTTCCAAGTCAATATCAACTCCCTGAACTTTAGAATGCAGAAGGGATGACAAAAAGACAGGAAGGGGATAAGGCCATTGAAATGGGAAAAGCTTTTTTGGTGAAGGAATCTCAAGCTTCACAAGGGAATTAAGCTCTGATAGTATTTTGGATGAGTAGCATAAGAGAAGCAACCAAGGCCTCCACTTGAGACCATTGGGAAGTATGCTCTCTCCATCTATATTCCTCCTGCAAGAAGGATCACTATCCACAAGAGCCACCAAATTCACAAGGCTCGTGTCCTCGGTTGCGTGCCGAATCAATTGTTGAACCACTTTAGATCTTTGAAGAACAAACCCTTCATAGCTCGAGGAAGAACCGTCGGATCCATCGGGAGAAACCGAAGATCCATGCGTGAGAGCAATAATGGCATTGAACCAAATTGATGATCCTAACACATTAGTAATCATTCGCAACATAGGCAATTCATTGAAATCTCGATTATATGCGTCCAAGCGATCGACATACAGAACAACATCAGGAGGACATCTACCAGTATACTTCTTTATTGCAGATAGAATCCTCCTGTTTGCTCCTTGATCATTCATAGAAGTTAACAGCCCAGGTGTGTCTATGAAGCGAATATGAACCCCATCAACCACTCCAGAAATCTCTCTCACTGAAGTTGTTGCAGCTTTGAATGGATCAGTAAAAGCTCTTTCTTCACCAAAGATGGAATTGATTGCAGCGCTCTTGCCAACACCTGTCTTCCCAATAACTAGAATAGTACATGAGAAGGAGAAATCATCCTTACCCTCATCAAGCTTCAAGGCCAACTTTTTAGCAATTTCAGGTCTGAATTCTTCACCGATTGTTCTTCCACATCTCGCCCGATTTATTAAGCCCATTCGATAAAGAACATGATCAGGCAAAGCATCATTAGCAGAATACCCCAGCTTCTCTACAAGGCACAGGTACTTTGCCCATATTTGTTCTAACTTCAAGTATAAGGTGTTCTCTTCATCATTAATATCATTCATGGAAGAAGTATCCTGAGAAGTCAAGTGAGCAGCTCTACCAGAAAAAGCAGCATTAGAAGCTCTCAAGAGTGCAGCCAGGGCAGACGTGTCAAAGAGCTCTTTTGCACTGCCATCCTCATCGGTTTCCCCTTCCTTGTCGGAATTAGAAATAGTTTGACCATCTAAACTATGTGAATAACTTTGTAAAGTTTCAAAATCTGAATGTGAAAGGGAAGAATTATCCTCCATCTCTTTTAGGATATGCTTCACAGATTCTGTGTTCTCTGATATGGCTAAACTTGCAGGCCATTCAGAAATCACATGGTCATCCTCTTCTGCTGAATTGTCATGATGAGCAACAAGAAAGGAATTAAATTTGGATTCCATTTCCTTTTCGTAAGCATAAAAGGATGATGGTAAGTTATCAGAATAAGACTCACAGGCATTGTAATTCTCGGTTATGAAAACTTCTTTAACAAAAGCTCGAGACTCATCATTCTTCTCATTAAAATTTTCTAAAAATTGTGCAGAAACATCCTTACTTGGAGAACTACTCCCATGAGAATTCTCAGAACCAGTTGAAATAAGAAGCTTGCCAGAAGAATCCTTTCCTTTCTCAGAAACCACAGAATTAACATTCTCACACAAATACTTATCTTTCTCAGCTTCCATATTAACAGCACATACTTCAGGATGTTTTGGTTCAGATGCTTCACTACCATGAAGACTTGACATCTCAAGGATTTGACTATGGCTAAAACCAACAGCCTTAATCGCTTCAAATCCCTTGAATTCATTAGAATGAGCTTCAGCTTCACTAGTGTCCAACGTCTTTTCACCAAAAAAGTAATTTTTGGGATCAATAGCATCAGAAGCCACCTCTTCCAGGTCCTCCCAAACGCCAAATTCAGCTTCAGCGGACTTTGGTTCTGCCTCATCGTTCCAGTGTTGGTTAGAAGTAACAGCACCAGATGCTTCAATCTTCACAATCTCAATAGGGTTTCCTTCAACCTCTGGAATCACCATGTTAGCATGATCGGCTTCAGATCTCAATGCCCTCGGCACCACCTCCATGACAGAATTTTGAGCGGAATCAATATCACCAGCAAAATTGCTTTTTTCTGAATCTATGATACTTGATTCAACCACCAAATTCTTCAACTCCAGTTTAAATCCCTTATTCGCATTCCCATAGCCAACAGCTCCAATTTTCTCACAAACAACGGGACTGAAACCCATATCATCTTCAACCTTACTGCCATCCATCTCCTCCTTCACATCATTCAACTCCAATCCACCTTCATCAGCAACAGTATCAACAATAGGAGCAATCATTCTCTCCACCTCCTCAACATTACCCTTCTCCTCTTCCCGCACCAGCAACTCGTCCTCTGATACGTTTGCAGGGCCATCATCACCCAAGCTATTATCTTTCACCTCGTTTCCGTCAAACAAGCCACTCTCCTCCCTTCCGAAGGCAAATCCCTCATCCACTTCCGCATTCAAGCTCTCCTCAACCAATTTCACCACTGCCAGCTTAGGATTCACATCCCCCTCCTCCACCACCTCCTCCTCCTCATTATCATCATCCTCAAACAGCAACTCTTGAAGAACATCATCATCTACATCATCCTCAGTGACACGGGCTATGGGCATCGACGGCCGCCTAAGAAAGGCAACATTGTCCGCTTTGGTATCCTCATCATCTTCCTCCCCCGACTCCTCGATGCCGGAGTTATCGTCTGAGTCACCGGCGAAGAAGGAGGAAGCATCGCTTGCGCTGTCCTCGGTAGAGAGCCGAGCGCGGATGGCCAACGGGAAAGCAGAGGAATCGTGCCGCGGCTCCATGGAAAGCCCAAACATTTTCTTGGATTCTTATTCTTCAGCTCGCCTTTCGCCAATCAGAATCAGTAATGCCAAGTCCAGAAGAATGAAAGGGCGGGATTGAAGAAGAAGGATTTTGGGGAGAAGGGAAGGCCACGGAGCGTAGTTTGAGAGGCAAACAGAAGCCGGAGACAAATTGATTGGGAGGGAAATCACCACATTTCATGGGACGGATTAGGGATTTCTCCATTCCATTTCTGTGGTCACGCTTTCTTTATAATATATTATATCAAATTTTTTATATTTCAAAATTCAAATTTAAATACTATAGGATCATAACTGTCAAAGGTGTCAAAATGGGTTATCAGATAAGGAATGAATATGACCTGAGAACAACCCGCTTTGAACTCATCTATGACCTGTTTAATAAACAGGCCAAAACCTTGCCATAAACTCAACCTACCCTTAACCTGATTAATCTGACCCAACCCAAAAACTGGTTTATATCTCAAAAAAAAAAAAATGTATGGCAAGCTAAGACAGCCAATAAGCAAAATAATTTTAGCAAAATGGAATTACAATTATACCTTGAATTTTCAGACGATATCAAAATTTTCAATTCGCAATCTACGGGTCGGGTCTTTTTCTAGTGGGCTTGTCGACCTGAATCTGATTCGATAAAAAGACGGAGTCTAAAAATTGAACCCAAATCCATCTCGTTTATTAAACAAGTTGGCTCGGGTCATGTCATATATGGACACCCATAATAAATGCTTAAGAGTTTTAGTTTCTTTTTTGTGAAGTTTATAAGTGCATTAGTAGGAGTGAACTAATTGTGATTTATTTTAAGTATAGATATTAGAGATTAAAGCTTCGTTTGGGACGGCTGTTTTATTACTTCTTAAAGTAGTTTTTTAGCACAACAAATAAAATTTGTATACTAAAAAGTTATTTTAAGAAGCAGTAAAAAAGCTGTGTCAAACGAAATCTAAAGTTAGGATACTTCTTCTCATGTATGGTTTAGTGATAATATTCATTAAATAATTAATTTATTCTTGATAATATTTCAAATAATAATTAATATAATTGATATTCATCTTTCTTAGTGGCTAGCAACTAAATTTGTAAGTGTTTATCCTCTCTCTCTCTGGGCGAATTATTGCGTCCGGTCACCGGATGTCCGAACATCCAATCCGGTGACGCCACGCCACCCAAATACATTGGGTCCCGGTGCATTTTGGTGATGTGGCGACACCGGATTGGTGTCCGGATGAATCCGGACACCGAACGCAATAATTTGCCTTCTCTCTCTCTCTCTCTCTCTCTGTATATATATATATATATATA